TTTTAAAGGCGATGATGGGCAGGAGAATAAAAATTCCTATGAACCATTACAAGGGATAATCGGTGAAGAGGGAATGGAGACATCTGCAGTTGGAATAGAAGTAGAAAGATGTGAGAAAAACCAGCCTGACAATTGGAATCAGGAAAGCTCCTCTTCCGTTGATGCTCCAGTGCAAGACTTTGTGGTCCAACAAGAGGAAATAAAGGGATATTTTGGGGAAAGTGTGAAGCAGATCAAAGACGAATTAGATGCAAATGGACACTATCCATACCAAACTAATGGAGAAGGTAATTTATTCACAGACAATGGAAAAGATTACAATTGGACATTCACTTTTTCTCAGGGAAATAGGTCTCCTACATCTCAAAAAAGGACCCACATGGAAGAGAAGCAATCTAAAAATTGGGAATATGGACAGACGTTTAGAAAAGGCAGTCAACTTACTTCCCATAGCTGGATCGAGAAGCCATATAAATGCAGAGAATGTGGCAAGTGCTTCAGAAGATACAGTCATCTATGTTCTCATAAAAGGACCCACAAATCGCAGGGTCCACATAAATGCAAGGTGTGTGGGAAGATCTTTCCTTATCCCAGTAAACTTGTTACGCATGAAATAGTTCACAAAAATGAGAAGCCACATAAATGCAGAGAGTGTGGTAAGAGCTTCAAGGCAATCAGTTATCTTACTATCCATAAAAGAATCCACACAGGGGAAAAACCCTATCCATGCATGGAGTGTGGAAAGAGCTTTAGGTCAAATCATCAACGTACTTTACATAACTGGATCCATACAGGGCAGAAGCCATACACATGCATGGAATGTGGAAAGAACTTTTCTCGGAACAGTTCTCTTACTTTACATAAAAGGATTCACAAGGGAGAAGCCATATACATGCACGGAGTGTGGGAAGACTTTTGCTCAGAACAGTCAACTTACTTCCCATAAGATGAACCACACAGGAGGGAGACCATATAAATTCACTGACTATGGAATGGATTTCTGTGAAAATGCATTGCTTATAAAACATAAAAGGACCCACACAGGGGAAAGCCATATAAATGCATGGAGTGTGAAAAGAGCTTTGCTTGGAACCATCAACCTGGTCATCATAACAGAATCCACACAGGGGAGAAATCATTTAAATGCATGAAGTGTGGAAAGAACTTTGCTCAGAGAAGCACTCTTATGTTCCATAGCAGGATCCACACATGAGAAACAATTTAAATGCATAGAGTCTGAAAAGAGTTTTGCTTTAGAATCATCAACAATTGCCATAACAGAATCCAGATAGGGGAGAAACCATACAAATGCATGACATGTTGAAAAGGCTTTACTGCAAATGACGATCTTACTTTACACAAGAAGATCCAGAAATTCCAAAGTAGCAAAATGTTGATCACATCATCACAAGTCATAATTTTGAGATGCAGTTGAAATTCTATTGGGGGGGGGGAAGTGCCATGAGTCCCCTTCGGGGAAAAGGGCGGCATATAAATGTAATAAATCCAATTAGTTTGAACATATGTTAAATAAATGGTTGTAAATTGAGCTGAGTCTATTCTTCAGAAAATTACCACAGCTGATCTTGACCAACCACACAGAAAGAACAGCTGACTCTGGAAGGTGTGTGTGTGTGAATGAATGCACACACATACATATATACATACAGTTAATTCAGAAAGTATTCAGATCCCCTTCACTTTTGCCAATTTTGTTATGCTGCAGTCTAATTTTATATTTGTAATTCATTTTTTAAATCAATCTACAGTGTAGATTATTATACTTTCTGAATGCGGTGTGTATGTGTGTGTATAAAATCAGACTTGAAGTATACAATCTTTTTCAGTCAAAGGCCTCTCAGTACTCAATCATCACAAAGTCTTGAGGTAAAAGAAAGGCATACTTTATAGACAATGGATTGATCATTGTTAATGTCCATTTTCCCCCTATACCAATTTTTTCAATGGGATGGAACAACTCACCGCANTTTATTTGTACTGATAAATAAATAAAGGGAGACTAGTATAGATCTATTTCAAGCTATTTAGCTCTCATCAGCTAGCCATACCCTGGCATATATATATAATGGGAGGAAGCATATTTGGGCATACCAGGTGCTTTGACATGACACTTAATCATTCCCTTGGCTCAGCTGATAAGGGAAGAGAGCTTGTGGCTTAGAGGTTAATATAACTGCCTAATATGTAAAAACAGTCCAGGTTCAAATCCCAGTAATGGTATGGCTAGCTGATGAGAGCTAAATAGCTTGAAATAGATCTATACTAGTCTCCCTTTGTTTATCAGCAAAAATGCAACACAAATATACATATAAGATCTCTTCCCCTTTTAATCATAGGAGGTTGTTAGCAGGCCTATGTCCAAAGATGAAACAGTGAGATCAATCGAGTCTAGTTCTTTATTTGTTTACACAGAATCTAGGCTAAAACTAAACCTTCTAACCTAATAGATATAGCCTGGGGGATTTGAGGATGTGGCTACCCTGAACCTTTTCCTCCGTTCCTCAGGACTGTTCAGGACTGTTCAGCCTCTTGTTTTGGGCCTCTCTCTTTCCCCTCTTTGGGAAGCAGTGATGCCCCCACCCACCCACTATTCCTTCTCCAGCTACACCTTCCATTGCAGATGTTGGGCTCAGAGGGACAAAGGTCCAAAGTCACCCCGTGAGTTGCACGAACAAATAGGAACTTAAGGTTGAGCTTCATTGTCACGGTACAAAAATGTTCACCACTGTGCCAGGCTATAAACATTTCTGATATTCTTGATTTCCAATAAGAATTAAATTAAAAATCTGGACTCACTTATTCCGCTTGATGTTCTGGCTGAAGTGGTGAAATTTTGGGATGAACTCCAGTCACTCCAGTAGCCTCCGAAATAATCTCCATTGGGCCTTGACCGAACCTTCATCTCATACATTACATTTGGCTCAAATAACTGCCCCAGAAGTTTTAATCTAACAAAATCAGATTCGGTGGTCTAAGACAGGAATAAATTTGGGAATTTTGTTTTTAGTTAAACAAAAATACTCAGCTCCCTGTAATGACATTCATTCGTTTCTACGTAGTTAAATCCTTTTTCTCTGAACGTGTTCTTCAAATTCGGCTGGGAATATGACAACATCCCATACAGACATCCAAAATACAGTAGATTATTTTGCATCAAGAAAATATACCTAATTGTTCATGGAAAATGATCTGATTGGTGCATGATCAGAAAATGATCAGAATGTTTGGCTGCATTCATATACCACAAATGAAGACGCATGGAAGTCACTTCTTTATTTTATTTCATTCATTAGTCTGTTCTCCAGCAAAATGTTGAAGCCCAGTGGCAGAACTCATTTAAAAGATGGTTCCGTCTCTGGCTCATTTGGACAATGCTGGGAAGAATATCTAACTGAAATTCTGAAGAGCCAAGAAAAGTCAATATAGTTTGCTTGTTTGTTTGTTTGTTTACTGAGAATTCATATGGCCGCCCACTCATTCTCAGTGATTCAGAGAGCTAATATATGTAGTCATTGTGTTACAATTGTAATTGAGCCCAGAATTAGGGGCTTAATGATGGACACTGCATTGATCAAAATTCGGGTGTTTGCCAACTGGTTCATATGGATTACAGTGTCCCGGGATTGTGTGATCACCTTTTGCGACCTTCTGACAAGCAGAGTCAATGGGAAATCCTGCTTCACTTAGCAAACTTGTTACTAAAAACTACAGTGATTCACTTAGCAACTGTGGCAAGAAAGGTCTCAAAATGGGGCAAAAACTCACTTAATGAATGCCTTATTTAATTTTGGGCTCAATTATAGTCCTAAGTCAGGGAGTATCTGTACAAACTTTTGTGAAATGCATCTAGGACTGGGACATTCACACTCTGTAGTCATAATAGTCCAATTAAAGTCTTGGATTCAAAGCAGAAGGAAACGTATTAGCAGAAATAAATCTGGATCTGCATTAGTTACCCTAATACCAAATCCTGCTAGAGGCAGAATTTAAACTAAGCAGATGCTAAATTGGAAAGTTTGGGTCAAATCAAAAGTGTTGACCAAACAACGTTGGTAAACCTGAATTACAAATCTGTTGTGTTGTAATTAAGCTTGGTTTGCATTAGAGACTAACAGAAACAATTTTTGAGGGGAAAACATTCCCTCAGAAAATAGAATGTTTCTCGTTAAGTTCTCCATGTTCCCAACCAGTTAATTATTTTCATCATGAACTACTAGGGGTGACGTTGGATAAAGCAGCAGGGGGTGATTTCTAACATTAACAAGGAATAATATCTTTGAAGATTGCTATTCGCAAGTCGTGGTAACATTCAGATCAAATCAAATCAGGTTTATTACAGTCTATGACAGGAGACCAGAACAAATTAAAAACACTCAAGGAATATCCAGTTAAAAATTCTAGAATAAAAGACAGATATAATTTATATTAAAATCCCAATTTGGCACCCAATCTGTCAGTTATGCATGGCCAAATTATATTATAATATCAATCCTTAAACTGCAAGGACCGTTGTCCTTAAATACTAAAATGCAAAAGAGTAGTTAAAGAAAAGGATTTGCTATATTACTGTAGTTATGTAAAATAAATATGGTGTTATAGATATAGATCACATGTTTCTGACAAATCCCCAGTGCTGCTACACAGAATCTAGCCACCTGCGTTGTAATCACAGTCTGTTCAGGTGGGTAAAATGAGGACCCAGATTGTTGGGGGCAATATGCTGACTCTCTGTAAACCGCTTAGAGAGGCCTGAAGGCCTATGAAGCGGGATATAAGTCTACTGCTATTGCTATTGCTATTCATCCTTAAGCAGCCACTGGAGATAAGCAGTGTCAGATAGACCAGGATTATTGGGAGGATGTTTTTTTTTAAACTATCTCGATTGAAAGAGCATCATTCAAACATTGATTTTCATTGCCTTTTGAATATAAAAACCTAGTCTAGCCTATACTCCACGTTAGAAGTTAAAAACAGCTATTGGCTTTTTATTCACTCTAAACTTTTTAAATTCAGGCACAGGCTAAAGAAAAATTAACCCAGCCTCCGAGAACATAGTTTGCATGGCAATGTACAACGAACAACCCTTGCTTGCAGGCATGCAATTGAAATCAAGTAGAAAATGCAAAACTACTCATTCTTACTCACAGTCCAGTCTGTATTTTCTTGTCGGTAGGCTAACTGGTGTATTAATTTGTCTTTAAGGAATGAGTTTGCCATATGTGGCGTTGAGAATTGAACAAGATACTCATGTGCTTGTTCCTGGTAGGTGATATTTAGACCATAAGGTGCTTCAGGTTTAACTGCAAAGGACAAAGTAAAGATAAACAACATATACACACACAAAATCACATGCCACATGCACAATTCTTAAACTTCTGTTGTTTAAGCAAATTGTGAACTCAAATTCAAATGAGTCCATGTAGTATTACCAGTAGTCTAGAAGATTACCAAGGCCTAGAAGACTAGATGACCTCCAAGGTCTCTTCTAGCTATATTCTCATCAATTGATAGTCCTTGACTAAGAGCCATTCATTTAATGACTATTTGAAGTTACGATACTGGGAAAAAGTGACTTATGACTGATCACTTATGCCCATTGCAACATCCTCACAGCCATGTGATCAAAATTCAGGCACTTGGCAACTGGTAGGTATTTACAATAGTGGTGCTATCCCGGGGTCATGTGACTGTTATTTGTTACCTTTTCAGGGGGCTTCTGACAAGCAAAGTAAATGCAGGAAACCAAAATTGCTTATAGACCATGTGATTCACTTAACAATCACAGTGATTCACTCAACAACCATGGTAAGACAAGTGATAAATTCAAGCATGATTCATTTCAAACAGCCTTGCTTAGGCATGGACATTCTTGTCTCAATTGGATCATCAATCGAGTACCTGTCCATAAATGTGGATGACTTATATGAGCATGGGTAGTTAATATTTTGACCTCTCCTCCTTTATTCAAACTTCATCATCTCTAGACTCAGAATCCAGCTAAAACCAACAATTATTAAAAGAAATTATTTCTACCGCATACTAGAATGTCTGTTTTCATGCTTGTACGCTACAAAATATTAAAGCTAGTGATAGGAACATGACTCCGGAAAGCCTGATTAAACAAGGAAGCTTCCTTCTGAGTAGTTATGCATACAATAATGTATTAAATTAATCACACTTATTTTTTGGCATGGAATCAACACTTAATGTTAATTCACTGGCTAATATACATATCTAAATAGCTAAGAAAATGATGCATTATACTTATTTTTCATCTGTGACTCACAACCTCAGTAACTTTAAGATCTGAGAACTTCAATTCCCAGATTCTTCAGTCAGCATACAATTCTGGGAGTTGAAGTCTACACATTGTAACGTTGCTCAGGTGGAACAAAATTAATCTAGAGGACAATTGCTTTGAGCTATGTACAATCTTCTACTTTCCGCAGTTTCGATCAACACCATAACCTTCTTCTAGCAGTACAGATCCCATCTCTCCCCCCCCCTCCCAAATTTGGAAATGGAAGAACATAATTGGCCATGAGTCTTCGGACTCTGTCTTGATATAACTAAACTTCATGTCACTCCAGTTTTGAGCAGGTTAAAAAATGAATGCAAACGGACCCCACACTATACATTTGCTTACCCCAATGAACAGCTTTCAATTTCTGGCAATTTTTGCAAGGATTGGTCAAAGTTATTGTCAAGCAAATGTCCAAAGAACCAATCAGATCAGTGCTGTATATAGAACAATTGGCGACAAGGGGATTTTTCATGAAGCAGGACCGGGGTTGAGTCCCATACCTGTGACAAAATATGGGGTAGCAATGAAATTTTGGAAAACCTGTCTATCTAAACTGGTTCTGGAACAAATCGAAAAATAGGATAACATAGACCTTCAGAGAGATTAGTCAGTTCATTAGAACTGTAGTTTGAAAGCTGCTACAGAGTCTCATAGTTAGGAAACTGTAGTCATTGCAAGCTTCAGAGGAAGCATTGTGATTGTTTTGATAATGTAATTGTGATTGTTTTGGTCATGTAATTGTGATTGTTTTGGTCATGTAATTGACAGACCATGTGAGGACTTTGAACAGGAATTACTTTTATAGTTCCGTAGACAAGTACAAAAAAATGTTACTGAGTTAATTTATGTTTACAGAACAATACACAATCTTAAGCTACCCAAATGCAACAGCTATCCTTCACTTTTCCTGATTCACTGTATTCCAAACAAGCTGGACATTAAGTACTCTTGATGGCAAAGATTATTTTAATGTTTTCTAATTTCCCCAGTTGTCTTGTGACCAAATATTATATCTGATGAAGCCTCGCTTTCCAAATTTCAGTATTGTCATGTGTTTTATAAATGAAGTTGTTAGATAGGGTGAATGGATGAGACAGGACTCAGGCTTCAGGGACAACAAACAGCCCTTTATTAGACAACTAGGTACAAATCCAGCGCTGGCTAGCCCTTTTATAGGGAGCTGTCAGATGGCTCAACCAATCGGCTTTGAGTATTTTCCCACCGGAATGGAGGCCCTTGGTGGAGCCTATTGCTCCAGTCTCAATATGGGACAGAAGTCATGTGATATATCTGTAGTTAAAATAGAAATGCTTGAGTTCTGTTGTTTATATATGCCCTACTCCAAAAGAACAATTGGTTAATAAGAGTATTGCTGGGCTAGGATTATTAGCATTAATACATCTCTTCTGTCTTATTTTTAACGTTCATTCATTTTTATGCAAAGCCCATTTTCCTTTACAAAACTTTATAGTCCTGGAATGCCAGGGAAAATCATGTGGTTAATCAGCTAATTAAGTTAAAAGCAAGGACCAAATATAACCAGCGCCATTACGCTATATAAAACTTGTACATTTCTCAGTAACATTAACATCTTTTGCTAAAGAATCTCAAAATCTACCCTTTTTGTTTCTATCGCAAGGCGAAAAAAGTTGCAGATATAGTATGATCTGAGGATTTATGTTCTAAGACAGGAGTTCTTAAACTGCAACCAAAGACCCCTTAGGAATTTGTGGATAGATTTCAGGAGGCCCATGAATTTGGATGTAAAAAAATATTACAACTTTATTTTCACTAACCCCTAACTGAAATTTATCTTTTTATTCAGTAATGAATTGCAGGCAACCGGTTAATTTATCAATTCTAGATTCCAAAAACATTCAGAAAAATTATTATACATTGAAAAATCAAAACCAGAATACATTGGTTTATGCGCACTGTTTTCCCCAAACACACGTAACTGATCATAGTCAACATAGCATAGCATTTCAAAAGTGCTTTTGTGTTTAAAAATTCATTCAAGGCATTCTAGAGCTCTCGAATTCATTGTTTCACCTCCATGAAAAATTTTCTGTACCTATGTATTTTCTTTTATGCATTTAAATACAATTTTCTGAGAAGTAATCTGTAGGTTTTACTAGACTCTAAAGACAGATTAAGTTAAGATTAGTTAAGCATTCAACCACAGGCCAAATAAGTATCCCCAACCAATTTTTCTGAAGCTCCAGAACCTCCCAAAATTGCACCCCCCCAAATTCTGCAGCCATTTTTTTCATTGTATTAATCCTCTACCACCCAAGTAATGATGTTTGAATACATTAGAAAAGTTCTTACACAGAAAAATGGGCGTTTGCCTCATTCAGGTTCACCTCTGTCCCAGTAGCCTCACAAATTAAGAAATTGGTTAGCAGTCCTAGCATTTGAAAGAAACACTTGAAGCTGTTTTCTTGCTCATCGTCTGCACAAGTACCTAAGGAGAAAGAATCACAAAATAAATTCCTCAAATTTCAGATTTAAAGCACTTTATAAGGAGTCTTATCAAAAAAAGTAGACCACACAGTTTCATTTCTGAAAACAAAACTGAATTCTTTCCTTCCATTTCTTCCTCTGTGGGAAGTTATCATCCAGCCCTCTCCCAGAAAAATGAAATATCCTAGGAAATATTGAAAAGGCAGAATATTTATCTGGATGTGAAAAGAGAGAAACATGCTTTAAAAGACAGAATAGTTGCCTGTAGCTTCCTGCGCATCCCCACTTTGTCAATAGGCCATTGAGAAGGCCAGGCTAGCCCACTTTACATAATAAAGACTTCTCCACTGCAGCTGCAGGGGGAAGGGATATTACTCAACTCTCCACATGGCATCTGAGAACTCATCTATACCTGGATTCAAAACACAGCCTAGAGAGTAGCCCCCTGCATGGCACCATGGGAGTCTGACAACCAATCAGAATACATTTCTTACACAGGAACAGGAAACAGAGAGGTGGGAGTAAACAGGGTATAATTTTTTATTTTATTTTATGATTTTATTCGTCTTGTATGCTGCCCACTCCCGAAGGACTCCGGGCGGCTCACAATAGACAAGGGAAAGGAGGAAAACTAGACAAAGACAACACTTTAAAAACAAAACCAAAACATTCACAATTTCCGTGGGGCTGGATATTTCACAGCCCCCCCGGCCAGCTGGAGCAGCCAGGACTTGGTGGCTTTGCGGAAGGCCGGGAGGGTAGTAAGGGTCCGGATCTCGACAGGGAGATCATTCCAGAGGGCTGGAACTGCAACAGAGAAGGCTCTCCCCCGGGGGGTCGCCAGCTGACATTGGCTGGCAGATGGAATCCGGAGGAGACCTAACCTGTGAGATCTAATCGGTCAGAGGGAGGTAATTGGCAGGAGGCGGTCTCTCAGGTACCCTAAAAAGCCTAGCAAGCCCCTCCTTCAGCCCTTCTTTCTTCTTCTCCACCAACATTGAAGCATGTGATCACCTTTTCTGTTCAGGGCTCAAGCCATGTGGCCCTGTCCAACAATAAACCATCTTTCCAAACAGCCTCCATGTCTCCAGTGTCTTTTTCTCCACTTGGAGCCGAACCCAGAAGGACATTTCTTTCAACACCTCCATTTAATTATTATAATGTGGTGAGAACTGCCTGACAGAAGGATCCAGGAACAGAAAATCTGTAGGTTTCGGCTGCATCCAGCTTTAAATGAAGCGTAATTCCCCGTTCACAACAGTTGTTTCAGCTTCCAACCCAGTTCAAAATGTTCTTCTATCTTCTTTTGGACATTATGTGACACCACCAAGTTCTTAAGAATGTCTCCTCTGATATTGATGTGAGGAAGTAAAAAGAAAGTCCAAATGATAAATCTTTCTTGAAGGGATACAGAAAACATGTGTGTGTGTGTGTGTGTGTGTGTGTGTGTTTGCACGTTGCATTTGAAATAGCTGGTTTTCAAGAAACCAGCTATTCCTTCTTTTTGTTGTTTATTCAGTATCTTATTAAAAAAACTCCTTGCTTTTCTTGTAAGCTTTGTCTGTTGAACTGACTTTATGTTAAATAATTCACTAGCAAGTAAGTTTTCTTTTCTCAGTGTATTGGATGCAGATTTAACAGATTAACAGAGTTGGAATGGACCTTATGGGTCAACTAGTCCAACCCCCCCCACCCCCCCCCTGAAGTAGGAGACCCTACACCATTTCTGACATATGACAGTCCAATCTCTTCTTGAAAGTCTCAAGTGATGAAGCCCCCACAACTTCCAAAAGCAAGCTGTTCCATTGGTTGATTGTTCTAACTGTCAGAAAGTTCCTCCTTATTTCTAGGTTGAATCACTCTTTGTTCAGTTTCCATCCATTATTCCTTGTCTGACCTTCAGGTGTCTTGGAAAATAGGTTGACCCCCTCCTCTCTGTAGCAGCCCCTCAAATATTGGAATGCTGCTATCATGTCTCCCCTGGTCCTTCTCTTCATTAGACTAGCCATGCCCAGTCCCTATAACCATTCTTCATATGTTTTAGTCTCCAGTCCCCTAATCATCCTGGTTGCTCTCCTCTGCACTTTTTCTAGACTCTCAACAGCAATTGCTCCCTGATTAATCAGGTATTTAAAGAAAACTGTCAACACATTTTTCTCTAGATCAAAGAACTTAAGACTACCAAGAAAACTTTTGAGCAATTCATCTTTTCTTATGACTCATGGTAATTGCCCTTCTTATGTCATCTGCATATTCCCTAGAACGCTTGCACAGCACTAACGTAAAAATTTTCAGCTGTAGGTTATAGAGGTCATCATGCAATGTGAAAATGTAAAGGGTAATGTAGGAAATAGTTTGCATACACTATATGAAGTATAGTTTGCATACACTATATGTATGCAAATACACTTAGAGCATATGTATGCAATATGCACACACACACACATAAAATACACTGTATGTATGCAAATACACTATATGAAGAATAGTTTGCATACACTATATGAAGCAGATTTTGTGGGAATTTCTCAACAACAAATGGGGATTTTCATCAAACTTTGTTCAATTAATTTTTCACTCACAACTTGATGTATATACTAAAATAATTTTGGAAATCTACAAGGACTAAATTATAATAGAGCCGAGGTGGCACAGTGGGTAGAGTGCAGTACTGCAGGCCAATTCAGCTGACTGCTATCTGCAGTTCGGTGGTTCAAATCTCACCGGCTCAAGGTTGACTCAGCCTTCCATCCTTCCGAGGTGGGTGAAATGAGGAC